ACCCTAAACCCCCCTAAAACCCTAAACCCTAAACCCTAAATTTCTTCTTAACCCCGTATTCATCTAATTGAACTTTGGACTAATCAACTTGTTAACCCTAATATTGATGTTTTGGGTGGTTTACTATAGTCGCATCTCCATATCTGGGCCCTCACTAAAAAAACCTCGATTTTCAATCGAAAATTCCTCCACTAATACTTGTCGAATCTACTATAAATCGGAAATATACAAAATTCTTTACTAGGAATACAACTCCTAAAAATCTAAGCATAATCCGACGCCAGCTGCTAAATCGACTGGCCGTGTGAAAATTAACTCGACTAGCCGTGGGCCCACTTTTTTTCTCCCATACAAAAATGCAAAACCCTAATCCGACTCACCGTCAGTCCCCCCTCCCCCATGGGGTAGACGTTGTGAGGTGGTCGATGAGCAAGCAGAGATGCTCCACATCTGTGGGTTCACAGTCCGAACCGTTGTTCATGCTCTCCGCACATTTGTCGAGCTCTGGGAGGAAATGAAATAGCACATATTGCTCGATCTGAATTCAAGTCAGCATTGTCTTCAAGTTAGTGTCTGCTCCACTTACTGAGGGCTTGCGCCATTGCCCCATCGGAATGTCAACATTTGGCGCGAGAAGGGAGATGACGCCATGGTGAGTGACAACAATAATATCTGGCTCTTTGGTGGTTGTTAATGATTCCGAGAGTATATATCTACTAGCTAGTCTATGATTCATTGCGATTAATTACATCACTGTGATTTCCATTTTGACGTTATCGGAAAATTAACTGACGAAGGCAGCTCTTACATAGTCTACGTGTCATCCTAAAACGACCCAAGAAAATTGTACGGGATAGATTTATCCTTGTGGTTGAGGGAACATATAAGTATAGGTTTTTCCACCGTGATGTTCCTTCAATAGTCTAAGAATGATATCAGATTTTCATTTAAACAACACACGACGACAAGCCATGTTTATTATGCATGTACTAATGTTTCTCCTTGCAACTGCCCTATCGGGAAACGCTGCTGTTCTTTTTTCTCCCGAAACTACCGATCCTGACCTTATAACTGCTCTCTTAAATGCCCCAACTGCAGTTGACCGCATTAAACTTATACAAAATGACTCGGACTTCGTGTATGACTTTCAGAAGCCCCCCTCCCAGGATGCCATTAGGACAGGTAAAGGTACGGTGATAAGTCCTTGTTCAACACACATTCATACACCAAACGTGATAATGGTTGAATACTAACGCGGTTTTAACCAAGGCGGACATACTGTTAGAGCTGACCGCAAGCTCTTCCCACCATTGATTGGAACTGGCGTTGCGATGACTGTTGGCTTCCTTGGGCCATGTGGCTTCAACACCCCACACGTTCACCCAAGGGCTAGTGAAATCAATATTGTTGTTAAAGGCGCCTTGAACGCTGAATTCATTCTTGAAAATGGCGCTCGCCCTATACGCACGAACCTTACTTCCCCGTTCCAAATGACAGTCTTTCCTAAGGGTGCGGTGCATATGGAATTCAACCCAACCTGCAACGATGCTGTCTTCATTGCCGGATTCGGTGATGAGGATCCAGGTGTTCAGCAATCAGCTCAAACATTCTTCGGGCTTCAAACAGATGTTGTTGCGGCGACTTTGGGAAAAGGAGATATAACTATTGACGGCAAGGATATTGACACATTTCGATCGCTGATTCCGGCAAATGTTGCACTAGGTGTAGACGAATGCCTCAAAGCTTGCGAGATCAACAGGAATGCAAGGATGAGGCTCTTGAAGCAGACATGGTAGTATTGTTTAACAATATGCAATCCATTTCTGTGCTTAGTTGCGTACTATATCATCCTTCGGGATATGGAGAAAAACAAAAGCCTCCCCCGTGCAGATGTAGCCGTATTGAACCCCACTGTCAATCATATATGAGAATATCTGAGTGACCACAGCGGCGACGAGGTAGGTGGCATAAAACTCAAACGTGTCGCCTTCCTGGAATGATATCGCGAGCCAGATCCATCTGGTGTAGACCCGCCACCAATTCGGGGATTGTCACCTTGTGCGGCGCTTTGAACTCCACTGCATACACTGGTATGATACAAAAGCGATATTTCCAGGCATATTTCGAGACAGCATAATGTTGCCTCTAACAGCGGCCAGCCCAATATACTCAGGCTTACGGATTGACTTGAGGCGAGGAACTCTAAATACGAACCTCTTACGCAAAGGGACTAGTACTAAACCTTATTTGCCCTCATGTTAATTTAAGATTTAGCGTCTGATGCGGATGACCGCCACCAATTTAGGGTATGCTACATGACGCATGTCGATCATCCGAGCCCGCAACCTTGTGCGAAATTAGTCCGTGGTTTCACCAATCACGGTTCCCCATCTCTGTGAAAGTCGCACTCTGCTCGTGTGTAACTAATCGGTATAAACGGGTAAGATATTTACTAACGTGTCGCAGATGATCTAGAAAAAGAGTGATTGGCTACGAGACAATAAAGTTCTATCCCATGGGGATAGGAGCCTGGACGGTGAAAGCTCGTAGAGTTTAGCTCTGTCCCACAGTGGCGCGAAGTCAGCCCGACTGGGATTAGGGCTTTCGTTTCAACTATGGGAAAAATTAAGTGGGTCCACGGTGACTGGAATTGAATCTTCTCACTGAGTTCGGAGATTAAGTCAGCTCCAATCTGTCTAAGATTTTAATGAGTTATAATTTGGGTACCAATATAGCCCCCTGCTTGCTTCAGAGCTTACACTGGCTTATATTTAGTAAAGGATATTCGCGATTGAAATTGGCCATTTTTTTGATAGGGGATCGGAAGCGGGTCCAGTCTTTACTGCGACCGCGTAGTTAGTTAGCTATCCATAACGTGAGATCAATTGAACAAGTCAACATCTGCTTACTGTCCAAACTAGTAAGGAATCAGGGGCTAAATCTTAGGGTATACCTATACTCTATTGCTCTATCTGAAAGGCTGCCGTTGCAATCTTTTTAAAATGAGCCTGGATTGCGAACTCCCTTTGGTAAAAGGTAAAATCATGATTTACAATGTGGCATCCTCGAGCACCTATATAATGTGATAGTCGCCCTAGCAGTGAAAAGGATTTCTTTCTCTAGAATGATTATGGTATATGCCAAGATCTATCCGTGGGTTGGAAATCACCACTAGAACCGTGGAGATCTTTTTTTTTTTTGCAATTTCTTTTTATAAGCCACCTGCCCTCTTAGAAAAGACGAAAGAATTAATTAAGCTGCTGCGACAGTATCTCTAAAAAATTGCCGACTTGAAAGTTTAGTATATAATAAAGTTTCATGTATTTGGTTCCCCTGCTAGTCCAGATGGTCCTATGACAAGGTCTTTGAAATCCAGATCACCCACATGATCATCATGACATCAAAGCAAATATATGCCTAGGTTGGTTCATCGTGTCCGTGTTTAACTTGGATCATTTACCTACATATATGAACCGCATTGGTACCGGTGGAAATCTGCTAATTGAATTTTTAAAGGTGAACAACTCCTGAGTTAATTCTAGAATCTCTTAAATTGACAGGAGCAGAATATTGAAATATAATGAGCTTAATCAATATGGAGGGATATTTCGATGTCAAATCCTTCGGTGCAATTGGAGATGGGATCATCAATGACTCTTTTGTAATTCAGAAAGCAATAGATGAAGCTGCTGGAACAGATGGTAAGGGAGGAGTAGTTTGGTTTCCTCTAGGCACGTATCTCATCGATCCTGGCCCGCGCATTGATCGTGGAATCTATGTTGCTGCTCCCCTGATTCTCGCTGGTGCTGGAATGGGGGTTCCATTCGGCAACCCCCTAGAGTCAGACCATATTATAACGAAGGGTTCGAAACTTTTTGTCACCAATACCGATATTGTCCCGGTCTGGATCAGCGGTTAAGGCACTATTATGCGTGACCTAGCTATATATTATCAGCAGCCGGATCCTCAGCCAGGCCAGAAATGGGAACTATTGCCCTATAATACATCTGTTTTCGCACATTCTGCCGATGTACGTCTGGAAAACATTTTCCTAAGAAACCCTACCATCGGTGTCTCGTGTGAAAATACTGGACGCCTTTTAATAAATCGACTATTTGGTCAGCCACTTAAGATTGGTATCTAACTCGACTAATTACGCGATGTGATAAGGATTGATAATGTCCACTTTTGGAGGTATTGGAGTATGGATCCCGTAGTCGGTGACTATCTTTTCGAAAAAGCTATCGCAATTGAAAGCTATCGTAATGATAACCCTCTATTCTCCAATATATTCACAATTGGATATAACACGGGGTTCCTCTTTGAAAAAGGCAGAATGCACCTGGAGGGGAGATCACTAGCAAGTTCCATATTGTGAACTTAGACATCGACTCTGGGTACAGGGGCATTACAGTTGAAGGGCCACTCACGACTGGCTAGGTTGTCAATTATACATTCCAGGGGTTTAAAGAATCGGAAACAGGAATCCGTATTGACGGACCAGGTAGTATAGTCCAAGCAACCAACGTGCGGATCACGCTTACGGGGACCAATGCTATACGCGTTACGGGGGAAGGCGCGCGCTTGCAATTGGATAATGTTTGGGTCCAATCTTGGAATCAAAGCGGCAAGGGCTTTCCCGGCATTGAAGCTTCGGAGCCTGGGACAATTATTTCTGTGGGATTTAACCGCCTTTTCACTCAGACAAGCGCTAGGCTCACTGGTGGCAAAGGTACGGTCGTATTGGCTGAACCCGTTCTACCTGGAATTAATGCGTAAGCATTATTGAGCTTTGAATTCGGTCTTTTCTGGATGGTGTTACTGGCTTTCTGTCTCTCTCGACTTTTCTATGTCTTCTCTCTCTTTTGCTTCCTTGCTTGAGACAAAATGTCGAGGAGTCAAAATTGTGGTTGGGCAACTCCTTTAGCGTGACGAGTTAATCGATATATTCTCGTTATGGCCGTACAAAGGGGAAGACACTTATGCCCTCTTGTTCAAAATTAAGATGCGAGTTTGAATCTGCCACCTTGTCATTAAGTGCATCCAAGCTCGAATACTGTTCTTTAGAGTTGGAAGTAGCCGGATTGGTGTTGCTGAAAATTGTCTATTGCATCCAACACAATCATCAAGTCCTTTAGCATGATATTCAAAATGTACCAATCAAAACAGCCTAGTATGTCCCATCGGGGTGGGGCCAGTCACGGTGACTGGAGCTTGGGCACCTATATCTGTTTAAGACGTAAATTGTCCATTTCTAGACATAATGAGATTTAATTTCTCCAACGCCGATGTGACGTATAATACTGCATCTTACACGAAACTGCTACAATGCCACGTTTGTGCCCCAATTTCATAACTTCCTGAGTTACAAACAAGGTTCAAGTTGAACTAAACTTTTGCCAGTAGAACCAGTGTTGCCAGGAGCGGAAAGTGACCTCAGCTACGATCACCCCCACGAGCCCCACGAGGTGGGCCCGTTCCATGAGCGCCTGTTTCACGAGAATAAATGCCAGTACCAGTAGCACGGCCTCGGCCAATGCCATTTTCATGGTCTTCTCTATTGCTCCTTTCTCTTTCCTGTCTCCGCTGCTTCTTCTCATTTCTCCTTACCTGCCTTTGCCTATTTAATTCGAATCAAAGTTCTGAATATCAGCCAGCCCTACCAGCCCCATCTACTAGTTTCAAGAGAGAAAAATGAAGATGTTAAATGGCCTCAGGAAAAGGAGGAGAAAACGGTCAACCAATTTTCCAAAAGAACATGAAGTCAAGCACAAGGAAAAAAAAAAAAAATGCACCACTATGAGGGTGATTAAGGACTCGAGATGTTCAGGAAAGGCCTGGCTCAGGATACAGTACAGGGTAGGGGAAACCCCACAAGTGACAAACAATGAATAACCCAGTGGTTGATTGCGAACACGCTGACAGGATTAGTTCGGATGCTTGCATATTGGATCTTGAATCTGAGCATCGTAGCTGTAAGGTAAGTTATCATTCGTCCACTAAATTACTTTGTGGAAATTTAAAGCCAATCGGAGGTCAACTGCTAATCGACTGGGATGTGAAAATTAATTCGACCGGGGCATGACCCAATTCTTTTCGCCCATACAAAAATTGGAAACCATAATCCGACCCGGGCTCAGTCCTCCCACCCTCATGGGGTAGGTATTGTGCCACTAAGTGTGTATTCTTGTTTATTCTACTGATAGCGTGGAAAGGGCATGTTTCGTTAACACCTACATCATCGTTGCAATTTATCCTTCATCAACATCATGCCTTTCTCCAACCGGTGTCTTTGGATTCCATTTTTGCCCAGTTAATCACCTCATCCTTCTGCTGCCCGCAATTATTGCCCGCGATTTAGATCCCGCTTATTATCTTGCGAGTGAGATTCACGTTCCTAGGATCATATCCGGCCCCAGGATCCATAGCATGGTTCCTAGGTACGCTCTTGGTCGCTCCTAGGGATCAGACTCATACTTCCCAGAGGACCTACAGCTCCCAGGAGTGTAGAATATAGCTATCAGAGATATACATGAAGTATACAGGATGAGTGGAGATAGGATCTGCGCGACCCACATTGTGCATCTGGGTTCCCCTGAACGCGAGGAAGCCTCTCTCTTTTGCTTCCTCGCGCTACGTCTTGTATCTAGAGTCGACTATAGCTTTCCTTAATATTGATTATTCATCCGGAAGACGCTGTCCTCATCTACGTAAACGTGAGACCCTCACAATAGCTTCGGGGAACGAGGAGTGGGTTCCCCGGACTTTAGCGTTTAGCAAGATCGGTGCCGGTGGATCAGGTGGGTCACCCATCGGATAATATTTAAACCGATAGCATGACAACACGTTTTACATCTATTCCTGGCTCCAGGGTGAATTTGGAGCATCAGCGACGTTAACGACTTTACGAGTACATGAACTCTTTTCTTTGAATAAACCTCAAATCAACTATTTTGTATAGAACTATGTTGATTTGTGAATAAATATTGGTGATGATGTAGATATTTGCAATGCAATTCAGTCATGCAGTTCAAGACCTTGTGACGCTGACACATATAAGGCGGCGTCTAAGATTTACTTTGCTTAAATTCCTGCTTAGCATTAAAATAAGCCGTATTTTAAGCCCTGTGACCAGATATCCTTGTTCCTGCCAGAAGGGCCCCGTGATTCTTACATCATAACTTGTCTAGAACTACAACCTAAGAAGTTTAAATTTCAACGGGGCAATATCCGTGCAAATCACGGGGTTTCTGGTCCTGAGAGCCAGGGATAACACCCTACTCTCTTAAATGGTTACAATGCTGATTCAATTGAGCGCCATTGAGAGGTGGATTTTATGTTCTAGACGTCTATAGATCGCAGATCAATTGATGTCATTATAATTAACTATGCGTACTTCTACAGGCAAGTATGTCATAATGTCTTTTATAATAAACACATAAAACGATCATAAGTGACCTCATGTTTCTAGCTCGCCCATTTCACCCTTCTATCATTGTGTTCCATCTCCACTTACACAATCACTCCGGACAAAACTGCCTGTTCACACCCTGTCTCCGAAAAGTATCAATTAGCAGAAATTGACAAGTCTATCACCAAAAATGGCTCAGGAATCGCTCAACTGGAGAGTATCAACATGTGACCAAGTTTGTAAAGATACTCAAGCTCTGGCCAAGTTGACTACGTTCCTCCAGCTCTTTGACTACATTCCGCGTGGATTAACACCCGGAGTGGACGAGCTCACATCAGCATTGACCGAATATCAAAGAGTGGCTAATCTGCGCAAAACTGGGGTCTTTGATAAAGAGACGGCGGCGGATATGGAAGAACCTCGATGTGGCGTGCCTGACGGCCTTGGTCTCAGGAACTTCACTATTGCAAGTACTAGATGGAACGAATTTAACCTAAAATATCGATTCGATACTTTTTGTGAGGAGCTCAGTGAACAACAAGTTAAGACGACAATATCGGGTGCGTTCGGTAAATGGAGTGCCATCTCACGATTCACATTTACGGAGGTAGGCCGTGAGCAGGATGCTCATATTCGCATTGGCTGGTACAGGAAGGATCATCAGGATGGCAGTCCTTTTGATGGGATTGGCACTACTATTTCTAACGTCGTCGCGCATGCATTTTACCCACCTCCTAACGCAGGTGGCTTGGCCGGGGATGTGCACTTTGACGAAGACGAGAATTGGACAGTCGATCTGCTTACGCATGTCGCACTTCATGAGATTGGTCACTCAGTGGGTTTGATGCATTCGACAACCGAAACTTCGGTTATGTGGAAAAATGTTAACATCAATGTCACGGAGCTCACCACCGATGACATGGATGGCATTTATGAAATCTACGGGCCATTTGGTCGTCCCACAGTTCTTAGGCGTAACCTTGGCTCGCGCATAAATACAAAAAATGAAACCATGACTGAGGGCGACTTCCTACAGTCCAACAATGGCCTGTACCGCTTCATTTGCCAAGGTGATGGTAATGTCGTGCTTTATGGACCAGGAAATAATGTGGTGTGGAAAAGCTCGACAGATGGAATGGGAAGGCCTCCGTTCCGCATCGTCGCTCAAGATGACCGCAATATTGTCCAGTACGATCGTGACAATCAGGCCCTTTGGAGAACTGGTACGAGCCTACCGGGTCACAGTCACACAGACTGCTTCTTCATTTTGCAGGATGATCGCAATCTTGTTCTGTACCAGCCAGGAAACCCGATAATTGCGGTGTGGCATACACATACAAATGTTTAATGCAGTACATAAGTCCGAACTATCTATTCCAGCGCCCAAGGTGAGAGGAAAGGAAGAGATGGCCAAAAGTATGTTATTGTCCCGGATACTTTTTACCGGCGCAATCAAATTGTCTAGGGTTTAGCATGGCTGGCAAAATGGGGGAAGGGACTGAAATTCTTTTTATTTCGTTGTATATGGGTACTGAATATCATTCACAATCGTTACATGCTATGAAGTACTGTAAGCATAGAAAGACACACTCCGGCTGGTAGACGACTTAAAATAATTGAAGAACCCAGTGATTGGTATTGGCTGTATTTTGTATTATTAAGGAGCGATAACTAATTTCAATATTAAATGACAGGAAATTTCGGTAAGGATTGGCCATTCTATAATATGGGTACACCGGCTTCTCCTGACATTATCAGCTAGATCTTCTTGACCTAGGGAGTTTGGGGGTATCGCTACCAAGAGTGAAATTATCTCTTCCAGCAAAACGCAGCTGGGGGTAGTAATTCAATAGAGTTTGCATCATAGAAATGGCGCCTAAGGCTTAATACATCGTTGTATGTCCAGCTATTGTTCAAACTTTCTTCAGTACACAACCAACTGAACTCGAGAAAGAAACTTGGAGCTCGAGGATAAGCGCTCCTTTGCCATCATATAGCGCCATTGATAAAATGCTGTTAGGAATATTCGGCACTATAAAGTAGATCAGACAGCTAATGCAAGCTTGGTCAAACTGGGGCATGAGAAATCTAGGAATACTGTTGGACTATGTCGGTCATCCCTTTGATGCCTTTGTCTAGCCATCTCATTGATGCCTCCATGTGTTTGCAGACTGAGCCTGTCTTTGTTAGATGACAGCCTTTGTATGGCAGGGTATAAATCCCCTGCTTCAGATAGATTGAATAGATCATGATTCTTCTTCTCTCTCTCTCCCATGGTTTGTAGCCCCAACAAATACCAATTAAAATCCTAGGAGCAACTAGGGTCAGCAATAATTCATGTCTTTCCAGGAACTTATAAAGAGAAGGTGACTTGCTATTATGGACCGTTAGTGTATAACCGAGCTCCCGTAGATAAGTGAAGGCTCCTATAAGCAAAAGAGTTTCTTATGTGACTTCTCCGCGTTTTTCTTCTGCTCCATCGTTTATGGGGCCTTTGTAGAAGGCCAGATACTGAACCATCCTATGGAGGATCATTACCACACTTCAGAGATAGGATTCCTAGCCATATTTATACCTCTGGCCTTCCACTCACCAACCAGAGCAGATTGGTACTCAGACGTCTCTGTCCTCTCCAATGACCTGCATCTGTTGTTTAGTTTCGTCATCCTTTCTATATTGAGCCTCATAATTTATCACATGGCTTGAAAGAAGATAAATTCAGTGATGGTACATCGTGAATCAGAACTATCAACATACTAACATAGTTAGGTGAACTACAGGTTCAAGGTCATCATATTAATGATAATCAGCTTTCAGATAATTTGTAGTCATGTCATTATAGTCTAGACATATATGTTTTATTTCCTAAACCCGGCAGCGAGAGTGTGAGATCCTATGACCTATAGAATGCCAGCTCTGTTCACTATCTAGTCAGTGTCTAAGCTTTTTCTATAGCAAGACGCGCTGCACGTGTCCCCAGCCTCTGCACCTGATAGCACTTGCTGTAGGAGCAATGGACAAATCTGATGCGATGACACACCTTGTTCAAACTGTGGTCGGGGTAAAACGCCTACGTGGTAATACGTATCGCGGAACGCATTAGGTTCCCTCACCATCCCCTTATGCGCGTCGTGGAACTGGTTAGTTTTCCACCTTCCGCCCCTCTTATTGGCTCAACGCACGTAAAGACCCACTGTTCTAGTGCGCGTCGCGTACCCTATTAGTCGTTCTCCTGATCGGCCCACGCGCCTTCCCCAGAGATTATATGATATCGATAATCTCCTGTACCCCGTGTGCCTTTGCCCCTGGCCGCGTCTAGTGGAGATGCATTGCACTTCAGTCCCCAATTCCGGTGCCTTCGGGGTCCCCAATGTCAATTCGTGGCTCGTACGGCTAGGACTATGGATAGTCACTGGCGAACAGTACACCAGTGGACCGCATTACGTCGCTCCGGCCAGCCTAGGCGGTGTCGTCAAGCGGTAGCAGAGCAAGACCTTCAGCGAGCTACCGTCATAGTTTCATGCCAGCGAGCTTTTACCCAAGGGCCCGGATCTCATTATATCTACATTCAAGGCACCGGTAGCAGCCCCATAGATATAGAGGCCGAAAATACCCCCCAGCCCCAGGTAGTCAACCAGTTAGTGGCCTAGCTCGAAGATGCTTTCACCGAGCAGCAAGCCCAGCGCACCGTTATCAAGGCCGGCGAGCGCGACGAAGCAAATCCATGGCTACGTCGCACGCAATGGGCCGTTTACCTCGCAGGTTTAGACCCCGCGCAGCTCGTTGAGTGCGTACAGCGACCCGGCGAGGCCGACACCGACGACGATCGCGCAGTCTCGGCTGTTTGGGATTCTATGGAAGCCGTGGCGCGGATGAGCCAAAAAGTCAGCAGCCGCGCAGGCCATATGATCCGGATAGAAGCCGTGCGCACCGAGCGGGACCAGACTCCCCATACACCATTACAAGCATATATGGACGAGGACAATATCGTACGGCATACGATCCCATGGCAGCAGATGCTCATGTTTTTTCGCGCGCACCCAGACGCAGCATAATTGGGAGAGTCCGCATTATCGATCCACAGAGCGCCAGCGAAAGGCCTGGCAGGTTTTGTGGCGATTAGCACAGGCCGAGGGAAGCCGGAGCAATTCCGTAAGTAGCAACCTAGAGTAAGAAGCAAGAAAGTAAGCTAATTAAACTATAGCCAACCAGCCAGCCAACCAGCCAGCCAGCCACAGAGCACCAAGTTCAGGAACAGGAAGCCCAGCGCCACCAATTCGAATTAGCCCCGATCGATATCGCTTGCTTAGATTTTTGTATCGAGCTACTCAATCAGCGAATCCAGGTCGAAGAATACGAATGTGCATTAGTCTGCGCGCTAGCTGTATTAGGCCGTGGCGAGGGTGGCTGGCGGGATGCCGAGAGTTATCCGCCAGCGAGGGTTTCAACACCCAAAGCCACCAACCCCACGACGCCGAGATCATCCAATTTAGCCAGGCCCAGCGCCAGCACCCCCAGCGTTCATTCCGTCAATGGCTAGTGGCGATGGTCGATAAATTTATGGTTCGTGGACTCCACAGTCCCATACAGTGGATTTTAGACCTTCGCACATACGGGTTAAAAGTCCATTACAATTCCACTTCGCAGGGGCACGTAGGCTGGATGAATCAATATCAGTTATTATATAAAGAGCTCAACTTTACGATGGGCAATTTCAAAGAGTTCGTCCACGGCTTAGTCGGAGCTACCCGGCAGCTACTTCACGATGAGCTACCATTCGGCTCCGAGGGCGGTCACGTACCATCGATTCCATGGCGAGAGATCCGTGACGATCCCACACAACGAGGCCACGGTTGGAACTTTTTACAAGATACCCGTACGTAGTGGCCAGTCACAGGCTCGCAGTGGTTAATCGACCGCGTACGCACCGAACCAAAGCTTCAACGTCGGTTCACCGAGGTTAACGCCGGCCGGTTTCGGATGGCAGCGATTGATTCGTATTTACAGCGGTTGGTGGTTCGATTTCGAGAGAAGCTATGTATTGCGGTGCACGTTAGCGGGGGGTAACCGGCGAGGGCCCCAGAGCTATGGAGTATTCGACATCACAATACCGATAGTGGTGGGCACCGCAATATATTTGTGGATGATGGATTAGTGGTTTTCGTGACGCAGTACCACAAAGGGTTTTACGCATCCAACGATACGAAGGTAATCCACCGGTATTTACCACGCGAAGTGGGTGAATTAGTGGTATGTTATTTATGGATTGTGCTGCCATTCGTGGAGAGGTTCGAGGCATATCAGCAGAAGATTCGTGGGATTGAGAGTGGGAGTGATAACCGGTAAGTGGAAAGCGAGATAGTAAACCGGCGAGGGCAGGCAGGCAGGCAGGGCAGACAGCGAGGGCAGGAAGGCAGGGCAGGCAGGCAGGGCAGGCAGAGAGCCCAGCCAAAAACCGAGCCAAACAACGCATCCAACATCAAGCCCAGCCATCGAGCCCGGCAACAAGCTCATCCAAAGAACCCAGCCAATGAACCCAGCCAATGAACCCAGGCATCAAGCCCAGCCATGAGCCATAAATATATATCCCAACCATGAACCCAGCCATGAGCCCAGCCGGTAACATAACAAGCATAATCGAGCTAACAAATAAGCAGTAGCGACCGGCGAGCGTTTTTATGGCCCCCGGACCCCAGTACACGCCGGGAGTGGTCATCAGAACGCCTTCGCGAGCTTTTAAAACGAGAGACTACCGCTGGGCTACGAGGGCAGGCATTAAACTTACCAGCGTACCGTGATATCGCCATCAGTATCAGCCCTCGATATATGCGGCCGTCGAGCGTATTTCCCAATAATGCGCACAATGATGAGCGTGCTAGCCCGCAGGATGATGCCGATGGCGAGGATGGGATGTGTGCCGAGCAATGGATGGGGCATATTGCCGATTTGCAAGCTGCGCATTCATCCCACGTAGCTGGGATGATATATGGCCGGGGAATCATGGAGCAGCCCGGCACGACGGCGCAATGACTATGCAGCTCAAGTTTCATATAGACCACTGTTTAATTGCTTCTTTTCGAGAAAACCAGTCAAAAGCCTGGAATTTGTTATCTCGTCCTTAAATGATTGTTCACAATGACGTGTAAGCAATGGTCTATCGTACTCTGGTCCAAGTCATAACGATCGACGCCAACGGTCCAGCGTTCTTGTATGTTGATAATAGGCTGAGGATACACAAAGAGGAAAAGAAATTGATCATTGACTGAGCTACTCAGTCGCTACTACCTGGCAAGATCATCTAGTGGCTTACTCTACCTCCAGCGATAGGACAGACACCTCTTCGTGGTG